CGCGTCTACGACGACGAGCGTACAAGTCTTTATTGGACGTTGATCGGCAGAAAAAGAGAGAGAGAGGGAGAGAGAGAGAAAAAACTAGCGGAATCGACGCTAGAGCGTTCGGTTTGCGCCACAGCGATTAGCTTTTAAATTTCAAATCGCAGCAGCAACTGCATCAAATTGTCTCCTATTAAAAGTGTCATGGCCACGGTGGCGCGCGGTCGAGCGGGGAGATTAAGCGGGTTACCAAACGTCTGCTCGCTGCGTGTTCTCTCTCGCGTTCGTTAGCAATCGCGAAAAATCTTCCTCTCGCTGTTCATCTCGAGTTTATCGAGATTCGTCGAACCTGCCTTCTGCCTGATCGAGAAAGACGCGGGAGCTAATTTTTTCCTCCGGGCGGAGGAATAATTGTCAGGTTTCGGGAAACGAAGTCGATTCGATCGGTCGACGTTCCAGGAACGACCGGCGAGGCATTCTTAAATTGGATTCTAGAAGGATCGCGTTCCACGAAGAAAACTCGGAATGGAGCGGGGTGAGGAAAATCGATAAAACTCGCATGTAAGAATGCATTAAGGCGATCTATGACTGTAAGACAAAGCAATGCGACTGGAACAGGTTTCCGGGGAGCCGAACGCGTATCGTGTAGCGTCGTACTCTAAGTACGTATACCTATCGTGGCTCTACGAAATGAGCAAGCGTTCACTCTAAAGATAGTAGTTGATGTCTTCGGGTAACGCAACACGTTGCCTTTAAATCAGGCTACGGGAGACAAAACAAAGACCATGTTGCAACAGAAAACAGCAATATATTGTTTCCACGTTTCGAAAATCGAGCTAAACTCTTACAGCGCGAGTAAAATTTGCAGATTTTTCAAGGAAGATGCAAATTTGATCGGTAGGTTGAAAGAAAGAAGGAATTTCTGAAATTTTTCTAAAATGGAGCACGAGTCTCTCTGTTCTTCTCTTACTTTTACTTTTACTACTTTCCTTTTATTTCGTACTTTCCAAGTATTATGTAGCGTTTCGTAAGAAAATCGTATTAACGAAAATTCGTCCAGAGTGGGAAACTCTTGCCTAGCACGATATCTCCACGCGCGGCGTACCAAATCGCAGGTAAAGGCAATTGGACCAACGACCACGACGACGACGGCGACGACGGCGACGACGACGATGGCGAGGACGACGATGACGGTATCTACTATCGCAGGTACAGAGAGGGAGAGAGACAGAGACTCGTAGACGGTGCAATGGTGCAGAGTTTCGCGATTCCTGGCGACTGGTCTAAGGAAAGAAGAGCAGGCAGCGGTGTGCGAGCAAGTAGGTACTCGTAACTCGTGCTACGTAGAGGACGGTGGCACGGCGTGGTGACCGTGCGTGTGGCGGCGGTTCGACTCGTCGAGAACGGTGGCAGTGACGAAGGTAATGGTAGTGGTCGTGGTCGTGGTAAACGTCAACACGACGACGACGACGACGAGAGTACGACTACGAGAAGGACGAGGACGGAGGCGGCGGCGGCGACGTCGACAACGTCGACAATAAGGAGTAGAATGGTAGTGGTGTGGAGTAAAGGAAGGTTTCGAGTACGTATTGGTCCGCGTATGTACACGCTGGTAGAGAACACGCATAGTGGTAGAGAAGAGCTAGTGGTATGCGTAGTGGTGGTGGTGTGCGTAGTGGTAGTAGTACTAGTAGTAGTAGTAGTAGTAGTAGTAGTAGCAGTAGCAGTAGTGGTAGTGGTGGCGCGAGTCGACGGTGAGGAGGATAGTGGTGGTGTTGCTCGGGCGGTGGTGGTGGTGGTGGTGGTGGGACGAAGATGGTGGGGTGGTTGGATGGCGGCGCTCCTAGCGCGCAAGCCGCACCGTCCGACGCGGATGCAGTTACGGGAGCGCAGCGCGACCCAATGCAACTCGACGAACGTCGCATATCCGGAGCCGGATCAAACGTCGAGGCCTGGGCAAGTGGTGCGTGTGCGTGTGTCGCTTCATCTCCCTCTCGCCTGTGCGCCCGTGGAACGCGCGAGAGAACAAGGGGGAGTGTGTGACGGGTAAAGACGGAAGCAACGGAGGGACCCCGGAAATTAGAAGAAACGGTGTTTTTTTTTTCAAGGCGGTGCGCGTCTCCTTGAGAAAATCGCAGAGACAGAGAGACCGAGAGCGAGAGAGACACAGACAGAGAGAGGGGGAGAGGGACGAACAGAGAGAGAGAGAGAGAGAGAGAGAGAGGGTGGGAGAGAGTGAGCGAGAGAGAGAGAGGGGGGGAGAGAGAGAGAGAGAGAGAGAGAGAGAGTGAGAAGGCAACGGAGAGGAGAAGAAGGCGAAACAAGCCTGTCGAACTGTCCTGTGTACAATTGTAAATCCAAAGAAACGCGCTGTCCTTTGGATCGGAGAAGCGTTGTTGTCGTCGTCGTCACACCGCTGTTGCTGCTGTTGCTGCTGTTATTGTGTACGCGGCTTGCCCTTTTCGGACTCACGCCCTCGCCGCGTAAACTTGGTTCCGTTCTTGTGATCACGAGGGAACGCTCGGTTCTCGTGGAGAGGAACCACCACCGGCGCGAGTCTGAACGATCGACGTGAATCGTCGTGAATCGTGAACGATAGGCGAGAACGGAGTGGAAGGAAGGAGGGAGGAGAGGCACCGGTGTTTGGCGTGTTGGTCGCCAGTGAGACAGAAGGATAAGAAGGTGGAATCGGTGGAAAACGCGGTTCCGTCGGTGAGAATCGCGCGGCTCCAATTTCCCCGTCGCTCGAATCTAATTGGAGTTGGCGAAGGAAACGACACGAATGGAAAAGGGTAACGCACGAAGGGAGGCGAAGGAATAAAGGAAGAAACGGAGCGACGACGAGTGCTGGAACGAGAGAGAGAGAGAGAGAGAGAGAGAGAGAGGGGGGGGGGGAGAGAGGGAGAGAAAGAGGCGAGTACGAGCGGCGGTCTCGAGAGGATCGGAAGGATCGAAGAACGGAGGAGAGCAACAGGCTCCTAGCGTGGAAGGAAAACGGTGGAGGGGAGGCGGTACAACTGGAGAGTTCGGTGCAACCGTCGATTCCATTTCGTTAGTTCGCGCTCGATCTCCTTTTTCGTACGCGTGTCAGTCTACGAAAGAGCTACGCTCGACGCTGCTTGGAAGGAGACCTTGTCGGTTTCGCGGCCGTCATTCGGGTTTTCGCGGTCGCCTGGTGTTTCGTTCGTTCGACAGTTTTTTTTTCTTCTTTCCTTTCACGGTGCGTGATAAAGCATCGGCAGCATCGCAGCGAGGAGGCGGGAAGGCGAGCGAGCATCTGATCAATTTGGAGGAGAACGATGTCGAGGAAGGCGACGATGGTGGTCGAGCGCGGCTACCGGCTCGGCACGAGAGTGGCGAGCCGCTACCAACGATTCTGAGGACGTCGTCCCTCGTAGAAGAAGGAAGTACGACCCGTAATCCTTCCTGCCCGCGACAGTGAGTACACCGCTGCTTCGTTGCATATTCCTTGGTTTTTCGTGAAAAATCGTCGCGTCGCGTCGTAGAAACGCGATTATAGAACAGCAACGCATGTTGTACACGCGTACACGTACGTACATGTGTGCGCGCGTTTCCTTCGGAGTGTGCGAGGGGGCCTGCGTGAACGTGTGCACATGTACGTTCATGTGAGCGATCCCTCACGCGCGCGAGCCACACACCGAGAGGGAAGAAAGGAAGGGGCCCCAGGAGGGGGAGGGCAAGCGCGAGCAAGACGGCATATTACGAAGGAGAGCGCGAGAGCGAGAGAGGGAGGGAGAACGAGAGAGAGAGACGGAGGAGGAGGGAGCGAGATAGAGGGATATAGAAGGGGCGAGAAGGGAGGGAGGAAAAGAATCAGGGGGAAAGATAGAGACGGAAAGAGGAGTGCCCTCGCGTGCGCGTGTGTGCATCGAACGAGCGTGTGCACGTGTCATCGTATGCGATTCTAGATGCGTGAGAGAGCAAGAAAGACGAGGTTGTCGGGCCGCGGTGAGGAGAGGTCGAAGGGGAAGGAGATCGACAGCCCACAAGACGGACTAGAGAGCTTCTTAGACACCAAAATGGCCGAAAAGACTGCCGCGCTCTTCTCAGAGCCACGCCGACACGTTTCTTCTTTGCTTCCACTTGCTTCCTTTTTTCCCACGTTTTCACCGTCGGATCGCTTCGCTATCTACCTATGCGACAATTTTCAAAATGAAAAGCAAGAGTGTTTCTTCGCAAGTAATCCTCCTCTTCCACGGACACCGAGGGAGTCCTTCTTTTTTTCGTACGGTGGTTCGTTTTACGTCTCATTAGTCACTCAGGTACTCTCTTATCGGTGTTTCGTCTACGATCGTCTCTACCTTCCTTCGTCGAGTCTTCCCTCTCGTATAACGAGTGACCTCGTTACGTTCGCTCGAGCCGGTCTTATGTCGCGTCCGTTACGTCTCTCCCTCTGGGGTTCCTCTGGTTTCGATGTCTGGCCGACGCTGGTTGCCAGGCGTCCCGCAGGAGCTCCGAAATGTCGCGCGACGCCTCAGCGGAAACGAGAAACGTCTCTTCCCACTTTGCCACGCGAGAAATCTTCCCGACCAAATCTTCCTCCTCGATCTTCTTCGATTTCTCCCCAACGAAAGTCCATCGAACCGAACCTTTTTATTTTTCCGCAGCCTGAATTTCCAACAACTTTTCGCTAATTCGAGAGCTGCTAAATAGGTAGTCGCCGTTATGCTTTGGTACAGGGGATTGCGAAAGCATAGGCAACGCGTCACGTGTTCCGCAGGGGAACCTGTCGCTCCACACGGAACACGTAACGACGACCGGTAGGTACGCGTGCATTTTCAACATCCAAGGGCAACCGAAACGCCAAAGTCGTGGGTGTACGTGCACTCGAATCCTCGGTTCGTTTGTCCTTTCGACTTTTCTTTCCCAGTCGAAACTTATCTCAGATAAGTTTTCCCTTCGGCTGACCGAGCCACGGGCAACGAGGTTTCACCAATGAAATTTCCTTTCGATAACACGATACACCTGATCGGAGCGGGTAAACAGATTCTCTGGTGTTTACGTGCCAGGCGCATCGGTTGCATTATAACCGATCGAGCGTTGCTCGCTTGCTTCGCGAGGCAATTAGAACACGCGGATGCCAGGAAAACGCTGTCCACGTTTACGTTACTCCACGTAGAGTTTCCGGTTACGCAGCTCCTCTCGTCTCTCTCGTTCTACGCCAGAATTTCCGTAAATGGTTCACGGAACCGTAATCTCCGTGGAAAGTTGAGATAACGACTGGATTGAGGATGTTTAGAAGAGCGAGGAAAAATCACGCGTTAGGCCGAGCGTGATTCAGTTGCCACGGCGACGACGATTCATTCTTAACCTCGAATACGCGGCGATAAAGCTCGGGGCAGCCGCTTCTTGATAAATCGACGCGGCGGCGTTCCTCCGGAAATAGCGGACGTCTGCATTTATGTCAGTCGAACGTTTCACCAGGCGTTTAAGGTAGACATTTATTGACGCGATAACTTAGTAAAATTAACACCTGCCGGGGGAAGGTTACGCCTTGCTTGGATTAGGAGTAAACAGAGGGTTCAAGTTCAGACGACGTATCGCCAAAGAAATGAACATTTCCTTATCTCCTGTAACAGTTCTCCTTCTAATCGTTACTTTTACAGTTTAACGAGCTTACATTTAACCGTCTGCCGAAGATGTTGGTTAGGTTCCCCGGTGAACGTCTACGTAGGTAACAGAAAGTCGCGTTATTGGAAAACAGAATTGGTAACAGAAATGTCGCGATAATAGCTCGTGTTTTCGCGCGACCTTGCCACATCCAGCAGACCGCGTTTCGACAAAAAACCACGCGCGGAGAATTCGCGATTATTCGAGCAGTTTCGTGGAAGCTGCATTTCCAGAAAGTACCTACGCGGGGGTTTTCGAGCGCGTGTCACGAAACATCCGCCGCGACGCGACGGTGACGTGGAAAAATTTGCGAATCAAAATCGGAAGAAAGAGGGGGGAAAAAAAAAGAAAAACAGGCGAATACGCGAAATACCTACGTGTATCCGAAAGCACGCGTGTCGCGATGTCCAGAGTTATCGAATTTTATTTCTCTTTCTGCCCGTGTCCCCGCGCGGCTTCGTTGTGACGGCACCTTTATCTGGAACGCGTTTTGGATCGGTGTACGCAACGATCGAGAAAGTTCCGCGCGTTTCATTGACAGGCTGCCGTTTTCAATCAACGTGCCGGTTCAAATGCAAACTATCGGCAAGCCTGGCAGTCGGATCCACCCGAAAGTTTCCCGTTGTAAACGAAAATTTTTCAGCCAGCGAACCGAAGGCGGCCGAAAGCATGGCCGATTTCATAGAAATTCAAACGGTTCTTGCGACGAAAAGGAAAAAAACGAAATAAAACTAAAATGGTTTCGCAACGTATAAATAGAATTGGCGATGACGAGGAAGAAGTTGTAGCGCGTGGTGGGTTTCGCAAGTTAGCAGCGAGTCTAACGAAAGAAGTGACCGATATTAATTGTAGACACTGGTGGCCGATCCGCCATGTCAAAAGTATACAAAGGATCGCGAGCCACATCGAATCGTGCAAACGATTGTCGCAACTGCATCAAATAATAGCGGATTTACATATCGCGCTCGCGGTGCACGTGACAATTATTCATGTAATCCGTTGTCATCCTAGGTCTGCTATGTTCGTATGATAATAACCAATATGGAATTCTCTTCGCGTGTTGACAGTGGACTACATGGTAACGGCTGAGGATCGTGTGCGGCATCTTTAAATTTCGAAATGAACTCATTTATGTATACATCGAAAATACCTTTCCGATCGAGCGCAATCCCGGAATCGACGTTCTTTTCAAATTTATCACAGAGCGGATTGCCACGCGATTATTCTACCGTGTTATTAGATAGTAGAACCCCCCGAGCTCTCGCCAAAAATCAATATCGAGCGTAATCTACCGCGCATAGATTCGAGGTTCACAGTTTCCGCGTACACCGTGTATATACGCAGGTTCTCCGCTAAGGTCGTTTCGAAATCCCTCAAGTCACCGGTACTAATTTTGAGTCGCCGGTAGTTCACGGTGAAGTTACGATCACCACGGCGTAGCGTCTTGTTTTAGAAAGCAGAAATTTGCCTTATTTAGTAGGTTAAACTAGAAAATTCGGTTTGACCTCGATTTAGAACGACAGGCATAGCGTGTCAAAGTCCTTAAGTAGCGGCGAGAGGTTTCCATCGAGCCTTCAGTCCGAGCTTCTCCCCACCTCTCTCTCTCTCTCTCTCTCTCTCTCTCTCTCTCTCTCTCTCTCTCGTCGTCGTCGTCGTCTGACGTTCGAAAATCGCCGAAGCAAAATTTTCGCGGACTTGAAACGGAGCGCGTGAGGGGAAAGGGGAGAGCGAGCAATCGGGGAAATGTTTGTAAAGCGTGTACCTCGTTGCGTAATGTTTACAAGAAATCCGCGCGTCGAACGCGTCGAACGCGTCGTTTTACGAACCTGCTATTTATTACACGATGGTTTTACGCATCGCGGGACATAGTATTTGCATGTTACGTGTGAATATAGACGAATATAAGGAAGAAAGGTGAACAGAGGAGGTGGCGGCGCCGTGGAATAACGTAGGAATAGTTGTCGAATAGGAGAAAAAAGAAATTAGCTTAATCGGAATTCGCGTTGAATTACAGGAGGTGAAAGGCGATAAACTGTCGCGAAAAAATAATTACTGCAAAAGCGATGATTCAGTCCCGAGGTTGATCGATAACGCGGCGCGTCGCGTCGCGCGTTGCTCGGTACAGTTTTCGCGACGCGGAGAATAGGTGGGGAAAAAAATGAAACAACGATAGAGCATCGGCGTCGCGTTGTTCTCGGGCGCCATCGCGCGAAACGAATAAGGATATTAAATGCAACAGAATTTTACAGCTCGCGTAAAATCCGAAGTCGGCAGTTTTTATGTAAAATAAACACCGGTGGCCCGTTTGAAATAACGATAATTAAATTCGAACGAATCGTAATGGACCTTTTTCATTTTAATGTTTCGTGAAAACAAAATGTACGCCTGAAGTGCCCTTTCGAATATTTGCATCCCGCAAAATTCCATGGAACAATACGCAGTCATGAAAATGCACGTGAAAAATTAACACAACCAATTTGCCGCGCGCCACAGTTAATTCTGTTACGCTTCGTCACATAAATTCGCCAGAAAACCACGATACTGCCCCGGCATTTAATTCCAACAATGGAATCGCGGTATCCTGTAAAACGTGTAAGTATTCCCCGATATGATCGTGAAAATCGTTTATAATTTTCGCCAGGTCCGGCTGCAACGGGGATGAACAACAACCGTGGCAGTGGGAAAGATGGAAAAAGAAAGAGGGGGGAGAAAAACGAAAAAATACACGTAGAAGAGGCGAAAGCTAAATTCACCTGCGCACACACCAGGGATAATTCGTTTATTTGTTGCGGCAAGCTGGCGTAGAA